CTCAGAATAACTTCCGTCACACTGTATTGGTTGCACAAGTCACAGGCCAGCTCTGATTTAAAGGGAGAGGAACTAGACTGCATCGCTCCAGATAGGGAAATGGCAAGACCTTATTGTGACTCTTTTTGGAAAATGCAATTTGCCACACTGCTGCTACCGAACCCATCCCTGACAAAAGTACCCCAGGCAGGAGGCACGTGACTGTGGTGGCCGCCTCTGTCTCCTGTGCTCCCCCTCTCCTTATCCCCCTCTCTTACGTCCTTCTCTCTCTTTTTTTTTTTTGTCTTTTTTCGTGTCCGGCAACGGATCGCAACCCTCAGTGTCGCGCCCATACCGGACCGGGACCGGCAATGGGATCGCAACCCTCGGTGCTGCGCCCGCACCTCACTCAGCCTGTATGTGGGATCCGAACCCTCGGTGGGGGCACCACCGCGCTCCCAAGCGGCGCACTACAGCAGTGCGCCACCGGGCCGGCCCCTCTTATGTCCTTCTCTCTTCCACCTTCTCACCGTATTTTCCTACTGCCCTCTCCTTCCCCCACCCTTCCAGGTAACTAAACTCACAAGGACACCCACTGCACATTTCTTAGTCCCCTCCGTCCCATCTCGCCCCACATATCTGCAAATCTTTGATGCCTGGATGATGGATTATTGGGACACCTAGACCAGAGCATGTCAGGCCTGGAAGGGTCTTGACTAGTCCCAGATGCACTTGACATGTGAGGAAGTTGAGGCCTAGAGAAGGGACTTTCCCAAGGCCCCACTGCAAGTAAGTAGCAGAGTTCCGCTGGCAGGGCATGAACACAGCCTGTGCTGGGTCTCCAAGAACGTCAGCGGCTTCCTCTGCATTCTCACTGCCTGAACTACAGCCACGTGTCTCTGCCCCACATCCATTGCCTCACGTGTCAATGTCCTTAGGCCTCTTGGTCAGGGAGGTTTCTGTGTGCAGAGGGGTTGTCCCAGCCCTGACCCCACTCCCAGCCTTCAGAGATTGGGGGTGCGGGGCACTTGTGGGTGGAGCAATTTGAGATCAGAACAACCAGCCCCTCCAACCGCCCCCACTGTAGCCCAGAAGCAGCTACTGCTCCTTTCTGATCCTAGGTCTGTGGATTCTCTGCTCTAACATCAACTACAGCATGTTTTTGAAATTTTCTGGGCACCCAGAAATGGTGAATGAAGCTGGCGATGACTGAAGTCAGGCTGAGGATAAATCAGGTGACACAGACCAAGAAGACACAAGTCTATGGCCAGGCCCAGGAGACAGCAACTGTGTTATGTTCAAGTCTGTTTCCTCTAGTAACAACTCCCAACAGGCAGAAGCTAGGACCCAGAGTGCAGACCCCAAGCTGGGCCACTAGACACCCCACAGCATGTAGCATCAACGGCTGGATCTTGAGGCAAGAGAAGGTCTGGAGTAAACGCAGGGGGTTGGGGATGGCTCGCAGCTCTGGGATCTGAACACTTAATGATGTGGAGAGTGACCTGCTAAGAAGCCTCTCAGGACTTTTTAAATCCACCAGCTGATTGTGTTCGGCTACAACACAGCAGATTTGTAAATTGCTGATAAGCTGAGAATCCAGCCTGGGTGTGCTGTCTGTCAAGGAGGTCACCTTGGGACCACAGTGTGCCAGGGGCAGGGGGGAAACTGTGGCTGTCTGTGGAGCACTGTCGATAAGGACTGAAGTAATCATTTTAATCGGTATGGCCTGGAACCTCCTTTAGGAGAGTGGCCATGTCTATCGTTTCTGAGTCCAGGTCTAGCGCAGAGCTTGCACATATTGGGGGGGTCTGTAAATGTTTGTTAGAAAGACCTACTCGTCATGCACCAGGCACGACAGGGGCCAAGACACTCCATCCTTCCTCATGTCTGTAAGAACTGGTCCACTCATTCAGGAAGGAGACGAGGCAGAACCCTCTACTGGATGTCTGCCATATGCTAGATACTATGCAGGATGCTTTATATACATAATCTCATTCATTAATAAGAAAAATCAAGATGATTATTGTATGTGGCTATTATTATTATACCAAGCATTTACTGCCAGTATCTTCTTTCAATTGCCTGACTCACGACCTGCACAGGGTGGGGCAGAGGGATCAGAGATTCCTGCACCACAGCGGGTCAAGGAAAGAGTCAGAGAGAAGGGAGAGGAAGAAAGAAAAGATGGAGGAGGAAAGAGCAAGGCAGAAAGGGAGCCAGCTGGGGGCACAGCTCTGAGCTGCAGGAAAGGAGGCCTGGAAACAGCAGCTGTGCCACGTGTTGCTCCTGAGAGGGCGCTTTTCCCACAGCAACCCCTGAAGAGGAGCTCAGGCTGTTCCAACCCCAAGCCCGAGACCCAGCTGGAAATAGCCAGAGCAGCAGGTTCCTCCAGAGTTCATCTCATGCCAGTTTCAGTAACATTGTCGCTTTTCCTCCTCCAACAGTGGGAGACAGAGAAGGCAGAGCAAGAATCTCCCCATTCTACAGAGAGGGAAACTGAGGCTCAGCAGGGGACAGAAGCTAGCCAGGAACGAGCATAAAGGCAGAGGTGAATCTAAGCCCCTGTTTCCAGGGTGGCAGGTGGAGGTTGTTCCTTTTCTAGAGGTAGGAGTACGGAGAAGCCTTCATTGCAGTTATAGTCCCCACTGTCCACATATGGATCAGAAAACAGGCAGGACAGGGGATGAGACTGCTTGGAAGCTGGGAGAAAATTGGCACCACTTTTAACAGGATCCCTGACATACATACCACCCCCCACACTCGTATACACACAAATAAGCAATGTGTCCTTACGATTCATTTATTAAACCCATAAGGAGAAATACGTCCTCTCTGCAGAGTCCCCAGCCTATATCTCTTCTCAGCCATTTTAGGCTTGCTGGAGTGTGTTTTTATTTTCTGTACTGGGTGGTTGATTATAGAAGAGCAAATCAGCTCCTGCTGCTTTTAAGATGCATTTTCTTTCTTAAAGAGCAGATGATGTGAACATGACTTCTCTCCACCCCTGCCTGCCTTGGCTGCTGGCATCCAGGCATTGTGTTGGAA